TCAGTCGCCCCCACCCCACGGGAGTAACTGAGAGGTAATGGCACCCACACGGGGTCACTGTCAACAATTCAAATACCGTCAACATCACTTCACTCAGGTCAATTACTTCCAACTGCTTCCCGTGTGCCCCCAGCCTCTGCATCGCCTATGAACAGTGACCACCTCCCACAGAAGACTTCAGTCCAACAAAGACTGTGTCCCAAAACAGCCAACTTTGCAAAGGTCAGGCCTCCAGGCCGTGGCTCATGTCTTGAGAAACTGTCTCCTGCACTAGTGAAAGACAAAGCCGAGGGTTTGGAGAGGCCGTCCAGAGGACCCAGGTTGGTTCCTAGCACCCACATGAGGCCTACAACCATCTATAACTCCACTTCCAGATCTTCCAACCTCCACACATGGTATCCATACATCCATGCAGGCAAACACTCCAACAGACCTGAGCAAGAACTCGGGCTGGGAAAAGCTCCCCTCTTCACCCCTCAGTCCATCTGCCAGGCTTCCTGTAAATCAGCCCTAAAAGGCACTGTGCAGTGCCCACTGGATTCGCCACTGTTTGATGTTTGGACAAAACAGGTATAAGGAGTTATGTGGCCACTGGAATCATTCCAATTCCCATTTGCCAGTGGGCACATGTTTCACCAGTAAGCTAACTATAACAGGGTAAACTGTCTGCTGCCCACTGCTGGCACAGCAGGAGGCCGAGCTCTCAATGACTGACAGTCTCAAAGGAATGCCCCCCCCCCAGTCCTGAAGCCAAATCCTCATTGAGTGCTGAGGGAACAATGAGTAAATGACATCTTTTGGGCCCATTCAGTATCCTATCTGCAAAACAAGAATACCACTAGCTAATGAGGCATATGTGTGTGTGTGTGTGTGTGTGTGTGTGTGTGTGTGTGTGTGTGTGTGTGTGTGTGTTTGAGTGATGAATGTGGCCCTACTCCCCATCCTCTCCTCTGGGTGGGTTTTCTTTCCCCACCCCATGTGAGAACCATGTATCAGGAGCCCGTGCTCCAAGTGTCCCCCCAGCTGCAAGTCACAAACCCAAGGGTCCCACCTCAGGCTTGTCTAGGGATTCTGGGGTAAGGTCACCTGGTGCCCTCAGTTTTCATCTTTCTCCATAGAAAAGCCATTTCCAGCTCTGGCACTTTCCCTGTCAGCTCCATGGTAGCTTCTGGGGTGAAGCCCAGACCACTGTTTCTCTTATAATGAAGAATGAGCATTCTGGACTGTGGGCCCCATGTCTGTCTGTCACCCAACCCCACTCCAGGGAATGGGAAACAGGCAGCCAAATGGTGAAGGCAGGGTCAGGTCTCAGGCACTGGGCCACAACATATGAATGGCAGGTCCAAGTCAGAAAACCTGGTGCTGTTACAGGCATCCAGGAGGCTCCCTGGCTTAGACGGAGAGAAAACCAGAGCTGGCCCTCTGCTTGGGAACTGGATGATGAACAGTTATCTGGAGAGCATTTCCAGCCACCAAGCCTACCCTTCCAGTGTTTACCAGATACTCCACGGCTAAGACTTGAGGCCAGATGTAGGTCCCAGGACCACAAGGGGATAGGTGGATATTCCTCAGACTAGTTAAGTTGGGGGACGGAGTGCATGCTGTGACCCCCACACCTCAGGAAAGGGAGGCAGGAAAGGGAGTTTGCAGCGGCCTGGGTTACAGAGGCCCAAACTCAAAGCGAAAACCAACAGACAGAGTTTGGGGACACTTGCTGAGGATGAGTCACAAGACTGAGGAACAAACTCGGCACAGGTGCTGTCACACTACAGTGAGGTCTAACCACGGCAGAGTCATGGAGGCTGGCGGGGGGTGGGGAGCTGAGCTTCAGAGAGCGGGCTCATTGTGACTGTTTCTATTTGATTGTGCCCTCAAGTGTGTGGAGGTCACAGGACAGTTTTGGGGAGTCAGTTTTTCTTTCCACCCCACGTGTGGGAACTCAGGCTCAGCTTAGGTTAGCACCTTACCCACTGGGCTGTCTCCTCAGTGAGGGTTTAAGTCAAAGAAACCAACACCAATTTCCTTAAAATAGCATACAAACAAGGAGGAATCTTAAGAGCCAGCCCCAAGCTCTTGTGACAGCCCACAGAAGCGCAGTGGGTCTAAAAGGCCAGCGGAGCAGAACAGAGTGGCAGCCAAGGAAGCCCGGACTCCCCACTTAGACGGGTGGAGGAAGGCACTTATACGAATCTGGAGACTGTGTTTTATTGTTATACAGTAGTCATTAAGCCACTGGGCAAGCTGGCTCCCGAAACTGAGAGGCGCACTTTGTCTCTGACAGGATTTACTGAGCTGTTGAAAGTGAAAGAGAGAGCACTGTTGTGGGAGTGAGCAGGGGGCGGTAGGACTCGGGCGATTTCACACCCTGGCAGGGCAGGTCTCCAGTGCAAACCGGCGCTGACCCCTCTCCCCTCCAAACCAGCCCAGCCCAGCAGCTTCCACCCCCAGAAACACCCCCGTGCACTAGATATCCTCCCCACACGACAATTAAAGTGCAACGTCAATCCTCCAGCAGTGTGATACGACTCCTCTAAATTTTGCTTTTATTTTACCTAATAAGTTTCCCATTCCCATCAGTTTCGAAAGGCAGCCAAACAGAAGAAATGGAATTCTATATCACACTTTCATCAGTACCATAGCTTCAGTCAGCAAAACAGTCTCCAGTGTCAGATTTCTAGGTTTTGCCATATATAAAAAGGTCAAGTCCTTGCTTCAGGGACTTCAACACTGGACCAGACACTCTCCTCACACAGCCTTCCAAAGCACAAGCTACCTCATGAGAGAGGTGCAGGGTGAGATCCTTTCTCATTTTAAAATGCATGTTAGCCAAGGAAAGGAACATTCAAATAAACTTCTTTAACATAATGATAGTGTATAAGATGATGCATAAGTCAATACGTACATGACTTAGGATAATTACCCCTTAAAAACGGACACTCATATCTATACACATATGTATAAAATAATGAATTAAACGGCATAGACAAGCTCACACATATCTATGCACATATGTATAAAATAATGGATTAAACGGCATAGGCAAGCTCACACATGTCTATGCACATATGTATAAAATAATGGATTAAACGGCATAGGCAAGCTCACACATATCTATGCACATATGTATATAAATGGCATGGGCAAGTCCTCCCTTCCACTCTAACACTGGCAACATAGAATCAGCTAACACTTGTTCAATAACATGGTAACTGTCAAAATCCTAGGACTTCTAACAAAACATCCACTCTTACTGGAGGGGTCACAATCCTAAAACCCAAGGGGCAAACCACCTATTATTAGGAAGTCAACAAATGTACCTGTAACATAAAAATAAGCCACGCCAAGAACTCAATATAGGAGGATCCCTGGGGCTTTCTGGTCTCACGGAAAGATCCTATCTCAAAATAAGGTTGGCAGCTCCAGGGGATGCCCAAGGTTGTCCTCCAGCATATACTCCTTCTCCCCCTCCCTCCCCTTTAGAAGAGAATCAAAGGCAAACTCAACGCGGCTTGGATAAATGCCAAGGTGGACAGGGCTAGGAGCCGAATTAGCGAGACAAGTACCAAGGACTTACTAGAGCACTGCACAGAGAAATCCAAAAGGCAAGCAAGGAGAGGTTCAGTATCCATCTTCAAAGACTGGGAGCCAGGGAACAACGATGACATGGTTTCCAACAAATAAGAACATGAAGTGAGATCAAAGTCACAAGAATGAAAATAAGCTAAACATCAAGGTCAAAACAGAGCACGGAAGACAACTGAGGAGAAAAATGAATTCCCACTTGTTATAAGAAGGTGATTTCAAAGCATGGGAGTGTACCCCCTGCCTGGCCTCTACCAATGGAGATACAGGTCCAGCACCTCCAGCACCCTAAAGTCCACAGGACAGGTTCAGAGCAGCTGATCCCTGTAAACCGCCAGAAGCTCCAAACTATTTTGGTTAATTGAATCCTGGATTATAAATTTCACCAGCTCACATAATATTCTCCTGTATTACAGCTGCCACCCCCCCTTAACGCCTACCTAAAGTGCTGGTTTTTATAGCATAATTAATCTGGCAGTAAAGAACTCAGGGTATACTATGATGACAAGAACCCCATTTTGTGACAAAATATTTCACAACCATGTTTGGCTGTCTTCCGTATCGCCATTCACAAGATAAATGTGTGTTGAGAAGTTATCATTTCATCTGCTTCAGCAGACAGAATTTCTGACCCAGCATTTATCTTGTGTCTGCGACAGCAGCAGTGTGCGCAGTAAATCTGTGGAACACTGCAATTTGGGGCTTTGTGAGTTATTTTCAAGTGAGCGCTGGTAGTCTTTGCACAGCTTACTGCAGGACTATTTTAAGAGGAGAGCAAACACTGGCTTCGGGTTAGCTTCTGAAATACCTACCATCCATGTGTTCTAGGGAGGGTTCCGACATTCTGCTCCCACGAGATGAACCCACAAGACTCTGCTAAAGCAATCCCAGGACAGAACCTCAAGTCCACAACCAGTGATGCCCCAGCAATCACCACGAAGGCCACCTGCCCCAGCCCGCTCCGTTCAGCTAGTCTGCCAGCAGGGTGTTCTTAAATGAGTTCTTTCCCCGTTCTTTGTTAAAGGAGAGTAAAAACAGACTCCATGCACACCTTCTGTGTTACATTAGAAAGCCACTAAGATAATCTGAGCATGCTAAGTGTAAGTGTCGCCCATTCTGTTATTACTGACAACAGAGCACTGAAGAATCTAAACCCTGAATCTATTACCTTCCTCAACCGCGAAAGCATCGTTGAAATGTCCAGTTCACACAAGCCGATGAAAACTGACAACTCCTACCCTGTCAAGGTCTAAGCAGTGCTTCTCAACCTTCCTACTGCTGCGCTGACCCTTTAACACAGTTCTTCAAGCTACCGTGACCCAACCAGACAACTGTTTCCTTGCTACTTTATAGCTGTAATTTTACTGACACACAACCCCGGTGAAATGGTCGGTCGACAATTAAAAAGGATAGCAGAGTAATAGTAAACAGCTTTTTATTCGTTAATGTTGCATAAGAAATTTAAGCATGTTACACTATCTTAAAAAACACAACTAGAGCATTTGAAGAGAATCCCCTCTCCCACCCTAACCCCGCTTGTCCCATCCCCTCACGAATCAAGAATTTAAGAGAAGTGGCTGACATACAGACTGTGGAACCTCTATCCAGAGTGCTTACATGATGACTAGATTAATATTGCCTTCTTACAAAAATGTTCTTCTCTTTTCTATTTAAAAAGAATTTGTAACCTTGATCACTTATTACAAAAAAATTCCATACAAAAGTTCAATATATTGAAAAACTTGCTTTACCCCCTCCCGAACAGCACCGTTTTATATATAGCAGAGAATGAAGAAGAGCAGACTGCCCGAATAGACAGAGCAATCTTCCAAGTATGCCCGGACACGCAGTGGTATACTTACCACGCCCCCCCTTAAAAGAACTTAAAAAAAAAATACATAGACACATACAAAAAAAAAAAAAAAAAAAGAAAGAAAAAAAAAAAAAGCCAAAAACTTGAGGGCCCCTTTCCAAACAGTACAGTTAGTTCAGTGTCAATAATTCACATCTTGAAACAACTTGTATGGATAGGATTTCTTTTACAAAACTTTCAGTGTCAAAAAGGAAATTAAGGCCATCAGATTCGCAGTTTTAAAAATTCACATAAAGGAAATACAAAAATATGGTGTGCTTCTGAGAAGGCTCTGAACTGTATACAGGGTTACCATGCTCTGTCTTGACGAGTTCACATAATGGCACAGCCTCTGTTGGATGCTCTTGGGGCTCCCTGAGAGGAAAACAGAAGGAAGAGTGAGGACTAACAGTGTCATGATGTTCTAAACACACACCCTCTCAGAGACTGAAGGTCTGCAGTGCCTACTTACAAGGGCCTGGTCACGCCTCACTCTTAGCATTGAGGCTTACTTCAACAAATCCCACAACTGAGTTTCTATACTAACTAGCTGCTCCAGAGTTTTTAAGAACAAAAACAAACAAACAAAAAGCTGAGCCTAAACAACTAAGAATCTATCGCTTAGCCCTGCGATTTTAAAGTAATTCTCATAGATAGCTGAGTTGGATGGCTCCTTAACTTCAGTTCCAGGGGATTCTATGCCCTCTTCTGGCCTCCACAGGTACTGCACGGTGAGGTACACAGATGTGCAGGCAAAACACTCACAGGTGAGACAAAGAGCATTTGCTGGGGCTTTGCTCGCTGTCACTTGCCTAGCAAAACTCAGTCCTTGTGACTTGTTGCTAATTACACTAGCCCTGAAGCCCACCAGTCCCAAGGGGATTGGATCGCCACCACTGTGCTGGGTTATCCCACCCTTTCCCCTGGTGGAGTTTTGACTGTTTTCCCTCTCTGGAACTCTATCATCTGTGATCACAAGTGCAAAGCCTCAACCACGGTGGACTTTCCCCTCCCCCGTTTCCTCTGAGTCTGCATTTATCGCAATGAGTCTGCACTGTCCCCACCTCCTCAGAGGCTGACCTGGCAGGACTCATGCACATCACTTCCTTCTACTCCCTGTGACGTTTCCACTGATGGTGGGAAATGGATCGATCCTGTGCTAGTTTTTCACTAAAGTCAAGTAGAACAGACTACCCTTAACTATGCCAGCAAAGTGACAAGGCATCCAGAGTAAATAAACTCCACCACAGCAAGTTACACAGGTTGGGTTGCACGTGTGAGTTCTGCTGAGAGCAGGGTTAGTGAAGCAAGCTTGTGCTTTGAGTAAGAATGCCCCCACAGGCTCACATGACTGGATGCTCAGTCACCGGGGAGCGGTGCTATCTGAGAGGATTAGAAGATAAGGAGGGTGTGTGTGTGTGTGTGTGTGTGTGTGTGTGTGTGTGTGTGTGTGTGTGTGTGTGTGTGTGGTGGGAGGAGGTGTGCTTCAAAGGCCACACCAGATCCAGTGTCTCTCCTCTCTCCCCTCCCCTCCCTCTCCCTCTCCTCTTCTCCCTGGAGATCAGGATGTTTGCTCTCAGCTACTGTTCCAGCAGTATACGATGCCATGCTCCCACCATGATGATAAACTCAAACTCCGAAACTTTAAGCAAGCTCCCAATTAAATGTTTTCTTTCCTAAGAGTTGCCTTGGTTATGGTGTCTCTTCACAACAGAACACTGACTAAGAAACAAGGCCAACTTAGATTACAATTAAGGAGATAAAGAGACAACAAAAGGCCAATTAATGGTCACACCCAGCAGCTTGAGAATATAAGTCGAAGGCTCATTAGTTACATTAATATATATTCTTTCCATAGTTAATACTGATTTTGGAGCTTATTTGAAGTTTTCTTCACAAAGCCCAGGCACTAGCAATTACTCATGAATGGCAGCTTTATATAACAGTAATGGAATCGGCACCACACTGAAGCTCAGGGTGGCTCTAGATTCTGCTTTCTGTTTCAAGTTGACATGGGAATGCCACACTCAGGAGCACAAAGCCTTCAGAATCCAATAAATAAGCTTCAAGGCATACAATCTAATCTATGCATTTGTAAATAACATACATATCTGGCACAACACATTATTTACACCAGAAAGCAAACAATAAAAGTTGACAGAGGAAAAGCTGTGTCCAAGTTTGCTGCCCTGGGCACTGCTTGCCCAAGCACCCCCAGTGGGTGGACTGCCACTGCTCAGGCTCATGAGTAGCAAGGAAGCCCGCACAACGGGCTTTCAGGCCATTCTAGTACTGAAAGTTAAAACAAAGTAATACCTGCTGGTGGAAACGCTCCTCCTCAACAAGCACTCCAACGGGCTCTTCCTCCTCCTCCTCCTCTTCGGGTATGCTTGTCTTAAAGACTGTACTTCGCTGAGCAACCTCCTGAGAGTGAAAGATAACAGAGTCAGACGCCATGGAAAGAGAGAGAGAGAGCCCTTCCCTTTGCTTAAGAAACTCCACTGCCATACAGGGCTTTTAAAGCCATTTCATAAGCAGTCTCAGCCAGTGAACTCTGGAATTAGCAGGGTTAGTAGACCTTCGTTCTCCCCGCAGGGAGCTACTGGGACCCAATCTGAAATGCCTGCTGAGCACTTTCTAATGCTTTTATCCTACTCTGTTACTAAGAGCCTGTGCACGCCCTTCGGCATATTGAATTCTCTATAAAACTCAACATGAATTCTGCTTAAAGATCTTAGCTCCAAGCAAAGAAAGGTGTTAAATAAATGCTAAATAAAAGGAGTTGGGGTCCAACTGCTCTAACTCAGGAACCATGGTGGCCGCAGAACCACGGGAGCAGCGAAGACAAAGAGAGAGCACCTTCCATTCCATCAGGAAATGGAAGGACGATTAGCACTGACTACTGGTAACGTAGACTGAGGTCCAGATGTATTTAGGAAACAGGGCATAACCAGTCATAAAGGCGCAACAGAAAGCACCTGTTTCCACGAGGGGCAAGTGCAGGTGATTGCAGGTGACTCCGCTGGAGAGAATGCTGAGCAGAGCTAACACTGCCGGTCAAGCATAAGGCTAACCTGATGATGAGCAGATAGTAAATGTGTCCTAGAGAGGGCTTTGAGCACCCCAAGCCCAAAGTCACTCAAGAAACCTCCACAGTGGAATTGCTTCGGCAGAAACTAATCTCCATAATCTAACAGACACCACCCCCGTTAAAACCCACCCAAAAGACAGTGTCCCAGAGACAGCTTCACGTGAGGTGTAGCCACCAACGAGAAGCAGCTCCAAGGGCATGTTTTGTAGATAAACCAGCTCTAAGACAGGATTTGTGTGGATTTGAATTAGTGCAGCAGGATAGAGGAAGCTAGAGGCTCAGGCAGGAGCTGTGGTTCTGTGAAGTCAGTCTTTACAGTCAATCATTGCACAAGCCTCAGTCTGTCTTAACCCAATGATAACACTGGATTGCAGAACTGCGTCCTAAGAAACATCAAAATACCAAAAAGCCAAGAACTAGTGTAGTGAGGTTGACAAACATTTCCTAGGCTAACAGTGTAAGCATTTACAAGGTTAACAGCATAAGGATTTATTTACCAGGTAAACATTCTGTATCAGATGCTGTTTTGATAAAAATGTGAATTTTCAGAGGTGAAATTACTCAAAGTCCCAAAGCCAGTTCTCAGTGGAGACGGAACCTGACAAGGACAGTTGGAGCCTCGAATCTGCTAATAAATCAAAACTCCTGAACACGCTATCAACGTGTGTCCCTTTCCATTTACTCAGTATCAATTACTTGGCAGCCTTGATCTAGCGGGAGCTTCGCTGTCAGCCTGGTGGAATGGGTGCCGAGTGGCACTGGTGAACAGCCGTACCTCTCCCTGAGAATTTTTCAGTATAACCTTCACATCTTCACCAGTGCCCCAAGAGTTCTGGTTCTTCCAGATGAGGTCAGTTGGAGGACTGGCTGTGACTCCAGCATTTGCAGCCCATATCTGGAAGAGAGAAAGGACATCAGCACACCCAGAGTGCAGCGCTCACGCACACCAAGTTCAGCAACACGATGAAACTTAAAGCTTAAACTCTTCCTCTAATGGGCTGTGATCTCTGCCTAGCTACCTGTGGTTACCACAGTTCACAGAGCTTCTGCAGACCTTACCTTCCTCACGTGGCAAACATGGACACATGAGCCCCCGAAATAAAACGGCCACACTCTGGCCTAGTGGTGCCACAAAACAGCTGACCCAGAACAAGTTTTCTTACTGTCTTCCTCAACAAAAACAGGCAACAATGAATGGTACCTTAAAATAGGTGTGACCGCTTTTGACGTGACAACCAATACGAAGGAGCCCACTCACTCAATGGTAGCATTAACAGTCAACTGCTCTGTGGCAGTGGTTTGCAACCTTCCCAAAGCTGTGACCCTTTAATACAGTTCCTCATGTTGTAGTGACCCCTGACCATAACATTATTTGTCGCTACTTCATAACTGTCATTTTGCTACTAAGGGGTCTCAATTTCTAAGCCCATCAGAAATGTATTTTCCAATGGTTGCAACCCTCAGATTGAGAACCTCTGCTCTAGGGGTTTCATAGGTCACCCTTCCAAGAGACAGAGACAGAAATGTGCACATCCCTCCAAGTTCAACAACAGCTGATGTTCTATAGCTAACAGTCTCCCTGAAATATTCAGGGAGAGTGGCTCATCCCCAGTTGGAGACAGTGTCACAGTGCCCCAGCGCATTTCAGATTATGCTCCACAAAAAAAAAAAAAAAAAAAAAAATGCAGGGAATGTTCCAGAAAAACATAATTGCTAATGAAATAAACCAAATGCATTCCCTCCATCAGCATGGAAATTCTGCCATATCTTTTCTAAGTCTTTTTTGGCAGGAAACAGGTGGAATGGAAAACACTGGCAGTCAGAAAACCCAAGTGTAGAGGGCTAGAACGCTCAGCGGGTTAGTGTACACTGTCTCCTAGAGAGCCCTGCACCACATGGGGTGCTCACCGACCACAGCTGACTCCAGTCAGGGGATCTGGAGGTGGCCCCTGTGAGTACATGCATGGGACACACACAATCTTACACAGTACAAAGACACACATAATTCTTTTTAAGAAACAAAAGCCAGGCGGTGGTGGCTCACACCTTTAATCCCAACACTTGGAAGGCAGAGGCAGGTGGATCTCTGTGAGTTCAAGGACAGCCTCCAAAACAATACAGAGAAACCCTATCTCAAAAAAAAAAAAAAAAAGGGAAAACCTAGGTATAAATCCTAAACAATAAACAAATCATTATACCTCTGTGGTCCCAATGTCCTCAGAGGCAGATATAATCAGCCCTATGTTATAAATATGGAAACAGGCAGAAACACAGAAAATCTGCAACTGGTTGCTGAATATAAAAGATTCGATCACCAAAAAATGCAAATGACAAATCCAAGCTTATGGGGGAAGTCTATGAATCCCCATAAGAAACACCCTTCCTCTATTTAAGTCGCTTTCTTGTCTTAGAAAAATCAGGCCTTGCAGCCAGAGTACTTAACCCACAAGGGGTGACTGGACCTATCCGTGCACCCCACAGAAACAGGGTTACTCTTCTAGATCAGGCAGAAAGACCATGGAAGCATCAAGCTCTCCCATGAGCATTACAAACTGAAAGGGGCATTTACAGATGAAGCTGAAAAGTTCACCAGGCCCTGAGCTGCCTTCCAGATACTTCTTGCAATACTTTTCACTAATCTACAGCGTCACACAGTCGCTTCAGTGTGAATAGTAACACGGCAGTGAGGCTTAGGGAAGTGCTTGAGATGTGGTTATCAAGTAAAAGATTCGCTGTGCATCTCAGATCTCAGAAAAAAAGCTAACAGACTTAACTAATAAGTTTGGTATTAATATGTTTTGTTGGGGGGTGTTTGTTTTTTGAGACAGGGTTTCTCTGTGTAGCTCTGGCTGTCCTACAACTCACACTTGTAGACAATGCTGGCCTCAAACTCATAGATCCGCCTGCCTCTACCTTCCTGGTGCTGAAATTGAAGGCAGGCACCACCATGTCCTATTTTGATATGATATTCTGAACAAAATAGATTAAATACAGTTTCAGAAGAAACCTTATACCAAGTTTTACTGTGTTTTAACACTAAATTTTAAAAGTATACATAGGGTTTTCTCATCTTATTCTGGATCTTCAGACTGATCCTTGCATTTGCCATGTACAATGTCACAGGAAAAATCTCCCTCACTACTATGTCCCAAAAGTGATCACGCCTAATGTGAGATACTAAAGAAAAAGCAATAACAGTTCTTCTATACAACACCTACAGGAGCAATCTCTTTAGTCCCTGGGGCAGTCCATCTGCGGGGAAAGCAGATGATTGTCATAATGGCTCCACATTATGAGAGAAAGGAAATATTCAAATTTAAACCTTTTGAATTAAAACACCAAATTCTTTTAAACACATTATGCAGTTTCCCTAAGACATATAATAGAACTAAGCAATCTTCTCTCACTATAATTACTAAAGAGAAGAATAGAGTAGTTAGGATATTTGTTCTCATTTTCACCCATTATTACAAAATTAACACCTGCTATTTTCAGAAAGATGGCAAAGCTCTCTACACTTTACAAGTTCTAACCTGCATTCTGAGCCTTTGATCTGAAACATTAAGGTTTGTACTGATCAAAAGTATAAATATGTGGGAGGCTAAGACAGAATTGTGATAACTTCAAAGTCAGCTACGGAGGGAGGGGAGGCCGGATGTGGTGGTGTCAGCCTTTAATCCCAGCATCTGGGAGGCAGATGCTATGCCAAAAGCCTGGCACTCTGAATAATACCAGGGTACCATCCCTGTCTGGTAGGACTTTTGGGGGGCACAGGGATCTGTTTCATTTGCATTTGTACATTGTGTAGGTGCCTTCAGAGTCCAGAAGAGGGTGGGTGTCAGGTCCCTGGAGGTGAATTCACAGGTGGTTTTAAGCCACCTGATATGGGTGCTGGAACTCAAACTGGTCCTATGGAATAGCAAGCAAGTGGGTGTTTTTGGATCTCTGTGTATCCCTGGCTATCTTGGAACTCTATAGACCAAGCTGGTCTCAAACTCAGAGATCTACCTGCCTCTGCCCTAGGCCGGGGCGTAAAGGTGTGTACCACCACACCTGGCTTTTTTTGTTTTCTTCCAATATTTGAGATTTTTCACATGGAAGTATTTTGAGTATACTCATGCTTCACCACACCCCATCCCTCATCCCTCTCCCTCCCAACCCTCCCCATCTAACTCTGAGATTACTTGTTTTCCTTCTTTCCCCATGAAATCCTGTTGCCCAGCCAGTCTTGGGATTGGGGCATGGAGTCTATTAGGAAATAAAGTCTCCTTCCCCACAGCCATCAAACGCTAATGCCAAAGAGTGATGAGCTTTTGAGTCTCCCTTCGCCAAAATGCTGGGATTTCACCAGGCTGGAGCTGAAGAAGGTGCTCTCAACTGGTCCATCTCTCCAGCCCAAGGACCAAGGTGGCTTTGAACTCACAATGTTTTTGGCCTCAACCTCCCAGTAGAAGAGTTGCAAGCACGTTCAAGCAACTATAGTGGTGGCTTTGTTAGACCTCCAACCCCGAAACCAGCTAAGGTAAGGTGGAGCCAAGATACCAACATGTTAAAGTTTGTCAAAGCAATTTAGGCAGCTGATGTTTTAGGCTGATGCTATTAGCTTCCTACAATTCTTCACGACGTACAGAAGACAAATTGCATTAGGTACAAGTATCAGTCAAGAGGGAACTATGTTATACCCACTGAAACAGGAAAAAATATACTCTAAACACCAATTCTTCTCACCACTCTTAAGGCAGAATTTTTAAATCTTTAATAGCATACATAAACCCTACTAATGTAAAGACATTTAAAGCACACTTTCAAAATGCTGCTCTTTAAGCCAAACTTATTTTGTTTTCTGATGTTAACTGTTTTTATCTGTGATTAAGATAAGACTGAGTTCACTTACTGTAACAGTCTGGCCTGCCTTCAGCACGTATCTTGAGGTATATTTATAACTGACTGATGTGTCTCCAATTTTTCTGATCATCTCCCAGCCTCCCATTGGTTGATCCTAGTCACGAAACACAATATAACAGGGTTACTTCACATTCACAAATATAGAAAACTATGAAACAATCACATCCGTGAACCCACAAAGGCTCTGAGAAGCTCAGGCTTCCCATGAAACACATTGAACTCCGTCTCTCAGCCAAGAGTGACTTCATGAGCACTGCACCCCACCAGGAAGGGTCTGAATTTTAAAGGGGACAAAATAGGGACAGACATGAAAACACAAAGGACAGTATTCACTGCCAAGTCAGATGGTCTTTATGATTTGCAACACAATCAAGCGACCAAAACCACAAAACATGAATGCATGATGGCTTTCCATTTCAAATTACAGACACTCACGGTTGACAAACATAAGGAGAGAATTTTGTTTTCGTTTTCTGCATCTGTGCCAGCTTCGCCCAAATTAAGCTGTCACTAAGAGTTTAAAGGCAAGCTAAAGAGCAAGAAGCCAGTGGGTAGGCATGAGGACAGCAAACCCATTAGGTTCCCTTCCCTCCAGGTTGAGACTAGCCGCTATTCTGTTTCCAAGTCTCCAGTGGGTAGGCATGAGGACAGCAAACCCATCAGGTTCCCTTCCCTCCAGGTTGAGACTAGCCGCTACTCTGTTTCCAAGTTGTGGCAAAGCGGCCCCGGACCTCGTCTCCAGTGGAGCTGCCTGTGCTGTCTGACTTAGGTAAACACATGACCACGCACAATAGCCTGCTGAGAAGAGAGTGGTCTCACAATTTTTAGCAGACCCCTTCTACACCTCAAAAGTCCCTGCAGTAAATACTTCCTGCTCACATAAACTATTCCAAGACAGAAATTCACATTACTACTATTTCTGTGTAAATGAGATCACAAGCATTTGTTGGTTAGTTAACTTTGAGAAGAAAAAGGCTCCTTCAACATACCCGAGCCTGCACCCACATCCTTCCATAAAGTTTTATTATAATTGCAACTTCAATCTGGCTACAGAAAGCTTCTAATTCATCTTTGGGAAGGCCATCATGAAACGACCAAGTCTAGGTCAGACAGAGGTGGAGTAACTTCATAAAGCAAGATTCACAAAGAAAATCTTAGGCTGAGAAGATGGTTTGATGGGTACTGGTGGTTGCCACCAAGGCTGATAGCCTGAGTTCAAATCTAGAACCCCACATGGAGAAAGGATAGATGACTCCTCCGACTTCCACACCCAGCTGTAGCACATGGACACCATCCCTACCACCACAATAAATAAACATAAGAACAAAGAAACTCTTCAGGCCACCAAAGTCCTTAAGACTGAAACAAGCGGATGGTGGAGCAGCCCAGCAGTCTGCAAAGCAGGCCTCGGGAGATGGGTCAATCCTATTACCTGTTCAGAAGTGTTCTTCAAGCGGATAAACTTGCCATCAACATCTATCTCTTCAATGCACACATTCCCGGTGGCTGAGGCAGAGTGGGAAATGCTAACACTACTGCTCGCCTCCGACTCCTCCACATCAACTCTCTTCCGCTTTCCTCGAGTGGTGCGAACACTGCGACTGGATGATGCTCTGGACACAGTCACTCGGGAAGAAGGACTTGGAGAGAGCTTCAACCTACAGAGAAAGAGTGAGTTCCGCTGGTGGAGTGTAAGCGCCCAACTCACCGAGGCTTTGGTCTCCACAGGCATTCCTAAAGCAAGGAATCTTTCACCATGTTAGACAATGCCAATAAAGCAACATTTAGTCATTACATTACTAAAACATTTGAAATCTTCAATGAAGGAGTCCACTCGATATTAAAAGTAATAACAACACATTTCTAGGGGCTGGAGAGATGGATTGGAGGTTAAGAACACTGGCTGTTCTTCCAGAGGTCCCCAGGTCTATTCCCAGAAACCACACAGATGGTGGCTCACAACCATCTATAATGAAAGCTGATGCCCTCCTCTGGCCTGCAGGCATACATGCAAGCAGAACACTATACACATAATAGATAAATCTTTAAACAAAATCTATTTCTATTTAAAACTGATATTAGAAAATTTCAAAGTAGCTTTTTTCCTTTTTAAAAATATTTTCTTTTCCTTAAAAGTGAGAGCATTTAATAATTAAATTTAATACATTTGGAAATATGCACTGAAAGAAATGTAAACCACTTAGAATATAGTTATGTTATTCATGTTGGAGAATACACTGGGTTTTGTTTTTGTTGTTTTTCAAGACAGGGTTCTCTGTGTAGCCCTGTCCTGGAACTCACTCTGTAGACCAGGGTGGCCTCCAACTTGCAGAGATCTGAGTACTGGGATTAAAGGCGTGTTCCACCTCGCCCAGCAGCTCTGCCTTTCTTAGAGACACTTTGGAATGCTTGAGTTCCTAGCACAGGACAGTAAATCTTACTGGACCGTTCTTCACTATGAACCATTTGTATTCTTAACACAAGAGACAAGGTTTTAACTTAGGGCAGCCCTAAGATACTGGATATAAAAGGGAGAAAGAAAGGGGGGAGGAAAAGTGAGCAAACCCAGCTTGTGGAGCCCCGGGGGTGCCAGGGCCTTACCGTTCTTCCTCGCCTTCTAAGAGCTTCCTGTAGGCGCTGATCTCCATGTCCAGAGCCAGCTTCACGTCAAGCAGCTGTTCGTAGTCATTCAGCTGCTGCTGCATCTGGTCCCTTATCTCCGCCATCTCTCGCTCTTTGTCAGACAGCAGACGGCGAGAGTTGTCCTTCTCTTTAGCCAGCATGTCCTCCAGTTCTTGAATCCTTTCCAAACAGGCTCTAGACTTCAGAGTCAAAGAAGCACATTCACTTTCTGGGACCATTTCAACATGAGGACAAGGCAGCTATTTTAACCCATCTCCTGAACCAGAGAGCAAACACAGCCTCACAGGAGCGCTAACTCGGAGCCAAAAGATCCTGGCTGGGAGAAATTAAACCCTAAGTTCTCAGACTATAAAATACACTCTTACAAAAGTTTTGGGTGACAAAAGCCTAAAAAGAAATATTTTTCAAGTTAAAAGTTTGGAAATGTACATGTAAGTTTAAGAGTATTAGCCAAATGAACATTTTAGTACAGCTGTGGAATCTTCAAGTCTGACTTTCCTACAAGATCCCCCTTTCAGAAGTATCAAAGAACACCAAGGACCTGCTAGGGCACATCCTAAAACCAAAGGCTGCACATTGGATATGCCCGTCTCTCTAGGGGGAGCCCCATCATCGTGCTTGGGTACAAATCACATGTGGTACACGGTGATGTGGAAAATGTTACTGGAAATATAGAAGCCGTGCTTGGCACACAGTGAAAATAATTCCACATCCTACATCACAAAGTTCATCTTCAAACCCTGTAGCTAATCACATGTTTCTCCATGACAAAATTCATCTCAGTAGCCTCAGAAATGATAAGAGTAGTCAGCTCAAAAAGAATGACAGAAGCCAAGGGCCTAAGAATCCCAAGTACGCAAATCAGTGGTAGACAGGGACCTACTGTGCCAAAACTTAAATCTGAAAGGAAGACACTGTAATAAATATTGCACAACTAGAATTTATTCCTGGAACAAGTACAGGCTCAAAAAATTCAACATATAATGGAGTTCAACAAGTAACTAGATGATAAAAACCAAATTTCCCAGACTCAGGAGTTACAAATAGATTAAGGAGCCAAAAAAGAACCCTGCAGTATCATATTTAATAGAAGTGCATGAATCTCTGCTTAACTTAATAAAATCCATGACTAGACAGAAAAACAATTACAGATTATAGCTATGCTAAGTTAGCATGTACATGTGTGCACAAGGGATGTGGAACCTGTTCTATGAGGTTTATACATGGACAACCTATTTTATGAGATGGTCCAGAAGTAGAGCTACCAGTACCAAAAAGTGTACTGAGTGTGTTTGCACATGTGTACACCAGCACCCCAAGCCTATTCTATGAGAAGGCATAGGTGTGTGTGTGTGTGTGTGTGTGTGTGTGTGTGTCTGTCTGTCTGTCTGTCTGTCTGTGTAAAATGATGAACAGGCCCTGTGGGTTCAATTCCCAGCAACACAAAGAAACAAAACAGTGGCCAGGATGGAGAGGTGACTGCGGTTGAGAGCTTTATAGAGCGGCTCTTCTCAATAAGTAATAAATAGATTCCTGTCTCCAGGACACAGAGCTTACTAATTCTTGTCTGGGTGGGCCAGACAGCAGGAAATGAAAGACCACTGATTCTTAACAATAAAAGAAACCTGGCCAACACTACTGTAATCGCACATTTCCGGTGACGTGGTTCTTAATACGAGGTGATGAAAACAGGCACCACCACTGAGCCAGTTAACCCCAGGTCTTACTAATAATTCATAACACAGTGACAGTGATTCGTTTACGACACAAACGCAGTAACAGTTCCCAGAGCCGGGTAGGGTCAGGAAACAAGAACCATGGCTGCTTCTGGTGTGCCACTGTGGACTCTTGTAAGGCAGGCAGCCTTGGCCCAAACACAAGCACTGCATGCAATTCCGAATGCCAAAACACCATTGCTATCATCTATCTACTTAAACTTATCTTCTTAAGTATTTCTTCAAAGGCTGCTTCGACCTTAAATTTCAGGTCAAGAGCCACAGGTCACATTCGCAGAAGCAAACACAGCCCAACAGCAGCATGATGAAACCACCACGACTCACAACAGAAGAGTATTAAACATCTTTCTCCCCCTTTCCTAAGATTGAAACCCCTCACCAAACCTCTTATCAAGCTGGACACAGGTGCACACACATGCAAGCCCCGGTACTTGGGAGAGTGAGGCGGGAAGGTGGAACAAGTCTCGGGCCTGCCCGGGTTGCCCAGCAAGCGAGGCCCGCACTACAAAGCGGGGTGAAGCAAGCGTGTGTGTGTGTGTGTGTGTGTGTGTGTGTGTTCATTTACTCCTCAACAGAAAGTCTCCATCAGTGATGGAGAAGACTCCCTCTGCCCCGACAGCTGAAACCCACTCAAGACAAAGCAGCCACTTGTCTCCCAGCTACTAAGGCAGCAGGTTCCTAGAAACCCCAAGGACGACAGTTTAAAATCCACTAACCTGAAAGCACTTATTTACAGGAAGTAGGAACAGCAGGAAAACAAGGAAAAGACAACCTGAGTCACAACCTTAGTCCCCAAATCTACCGCTATTTATCCACAGTAAGGCTTCGCCTCCTCGGCTGTAAAACAAAGATCTAACGGAGAGTGGCTGATATCAACTCATTGTGGGAGCACGACGGCCCATTTCCAGAAGTATACAGTTCATGTTCCTACTCTCCACGGCAGTACTGAGAGAGATCTTTCCATTGCTCCCTCCCAACTACAATTAGTATTTTACAAAACAGGCTCTCAGTGGTGAGTTAGTCGATCTAAGGATAAGGAAGGAATTGATTTTACCATTCAATCTTCCCTGGCCTTAGCCTTTCCGATCCTGAACCAGGGCCTACGCAGCTAGTTCCATCAGTGAAGTGCATGCCAGGAGACCCTGCCTGAGGACCTGCATTCAGAGTGTGTGCATGCAGGTGCGTGCACGTGTGTAGCTTGGAATATTTTGTTATAGCAGCCCAACAGGACTAAGATAGATAGATGGTGCAACAGAGAGAAAATGCCTCAAAGACTTTCAACAAGAGTGGGGTATAAAGGAAATACTGGGAAGGGAGGGAAGGAGACCTGTTACCCTGAAATCTCCAGGCAAATCATTTGGTCTGTGGTTTGGTCAAGTGAACAGTCCATTGTTAGATGAAAAGTTCAAAATACTAGCAGAACAAACTAATTCTAAAATAATTTAAAGTTTTATGACATAAGTAATAAAATACACAAGGTAGCAATGTAAAAATCTGTTAACTGTTTTATTACATTATTATTCTAAAGCCCACAATAAATGCTTTTATACCTAAAAAGAATTTAGGGGGGAAAGAAGGGGGGTGCCTGCTCAATAAAACTGCATAAAATTTAAACAAGTTTCTCCCCTCAGGAAAACAAAGGCAGGAGTTACTTCCCAGTCATTAAAGAGAAGCAATGCCCAATCAGTGTGTGACTGACTCCACGCGTCACTTTACCCAGCATCACCCACAGTAAAGGTGACTTGAAGCCACATGAAGACTACGTCACTTGACCTGGAGCCATGCCACCACAGCAGGCAGCTGTCAACACGGAGAAACGGAGTCACTTGCACTGAGGTATACAGGTAAGTTGATGAGACCAGCGACTTTTAAAGAATAGAGATTCATACCAGAGTAATTTCAACTGCAAGGAGAAAGAAGGCACTGCACCCAATATTTTATGATCATCATCATCTTGGTTTCCAAGTGTGGTGGGAGAGAATGAGCGGGAGCAGTGCGGAAAGACGGGACAGAGCACTGCTGCGACACAGCTGTGTCCAGAGTCATCGGTGGGTCTCCACATAACCTCCCTAACTGCTTAGGAATAAGGTGCTACTCAGGTGTTTTAGGGAAGAGGGGGAATTTTGAGACAGATCTCACTATGTAGCCCAGGTTGGCCTTGAATTTACAGCAACCCTTACCTCTGCCTCTCAGTTGCTGGAATTACTGATGTAAATCACCACAAAGCTACAGGATATTTATAGACTATAAAAACCAGGAGGGAATCTGTTTCATCTGTGACAAGGACGGAGAAGTGGCTCAGGTAGGTAACAGGCAGACAGTGACGACACAGGTGGCCAACCTTCCAGCATAACTCCAAGTGTGCTTGGAGGCGGGGCCTACTTACCTCTTTCTGCAGGTTAGAAAGCTGGGAGGAGAGGCTCTCGATGCGCATGCGGCTCTCCATCAGCTCTTCCCGGGCACTGTTGACAGTGGAAGTGTTCATCTCGGAGGACAGTCGGGCATTCTCAAGCTGTAAGAACGGGAAGCCAGTCAGCCTTATCTAGTAAGTTAGAACTGATAAATGAGGAAGCATGAGTCACCAAGACATTTCCAGGCTGACGAAACACAGGAAAATCATGACTGTCTGTGACATACATCACCATACACCTGTGTCTTCAGACTCACTTCTAAAACTATGAATTTACACAATTTCAATGTATCTAGGTCATTAACTGGGCTTACTTTTCTAGTAATCCATCCACTAACTATTTACTATCTAGGGTAGCACTAACAAAGAAGTAGCCACAAAAACTTTAGTGATGTTTGTAAAGGAAGCATTCTATATTCCAAATGCAACAAATCCAACACAGAATAGACTTTGTAACCAGATTGACTCTTCCTTTCAGAAGCAAAGCAATCTCAGAAAAACAAGGCCTACATCTCCAAATGCCACAAGTGTTGAGTGTGAGTACACACGCACTCACCCGTACCTGTTTTATAGAGGCCTGAGAAACAGAGACAGTGAGCTGTTGGTCTCTACATTCCTCCCAACCTTCCCTAGTCCAGTCTGTGGGGTTCTTTCTTTTTCTCACTTCAGCACTGAGCAAGGGCTGGGTGGCTGAAGGAACGCTTGCTGAGGTTGCTTATATGCTATGCCCATTACTGCTTCATTAAGTGACTAACACTTAACACGAACAGTGTGAGGCCAAGCAAAGGAATTATTTTAAACGACTCCATCAATTTTCTAACTCTGCCTCTATTTTTTTAATTTAGTCATATAACATTTAACATGAGAAAAATTGCTTGCAAAAAAATGTATCATGTGATCTGTTCATGTAAGTGGGATGTTTCCACATTTTTGAAATAAAGTCAGATTTTCCAATGTCTTCTCCATAAAACAGCAACATCCTATAGGGAGTGACACATCTATACACACTTGCAATGTGGCCATCAGAGCCCAACAGTGTGCAGAAACGCCAACAACAACCCAAAGGGAGTGCCAGCCTCCATTCACTGGCAGCAGCATGCAGAGAGGCAGCAGAGGGATCTGGGACTGACAGGTATTTAAGCCACTCTGATGTGACACGAGTGACCAGGGGCACAAACATAAACCTTACTTCTGGTAATTTGGATAACCTCATTTTCATCTAGATCTTAGTAGTGTTTAGTCTATATGAAGCTGCATTAACAATACAGTCATTATGTTTATTCCTAAAGAATAAGAGAATCATTTCTTCTATTTGAAGATTTTTTTAATTCTTTCACTATTTAATGTGTATGGGCACTTTGTTTACATGTATATTTGTGCACCACACTGGAGCACAGGAGAGCACTGGATACCATGGGACTACAATTACAGATGGTTGGGAGCTGCCATGTAGGTGTGAGAATTAAATACATAGCCCTCCAGGCCCTTTGTTCCAGTGTTGTTTTTTGTTTTTGTTTTGAAACACGGTTTCTCTGTATTGTTTTGGAGGCTGTCCTAGAACTAGCTCTTATAGACCAGGCTGGCCTTGAACTCACAGAGATCCACCTGCCTCTGCCTCCAGAGTTCTGGGATTAAAGGCGTGTGCCACCACCGCCCAGCTCCTTGTTCCAGTTTTTTAAAATGATTCCTGGGGCTGGAGAGATAACTCAGCAGTTAAGGGTTTTGGCTACTCTTCAGGACACAGGTTCAATTTCCAGCACCCACATGGTGGTTAACAACCATCTATGATTGTAGTTCCATGGGATCTAACGCCCTCTTCTGGTGTGCAGACAAAAGCACTTATATTCATAAAATACAAAAATAAAACTTCAAAGAAAAAAGAAAACCCTAGACCAAGCAAACAAGCCACGTCTTCAGGACTGAGGCGCTGGCGAGCAGAGCCCGGCCCGCGCTCACCTTGGCATGGTAGGTCTGCTCCAGCTCCTCCTTGTACAGCCGCACTTGAGCGTCGTGCTGCTCCCTCATCTCGTGCAGAGCCTGCGCCAGCTTGTACTCATACTCGATCTGCCGCCCGGAGTCCACCTCCACCAGACGAGTCTCATGCTTCCGTCTTGTCTCATTGATCTCCTGCAGGGAGAAACAACACAAAACCAACTTGTTTACGCCGGCCATGCTAGCACCAGTCTGAAACCTCAGGAGACTGATACATCGTTTACTAACCTCCACACCTGTCCTGTCTCAGAACAGGCATGTGATACACTGTTGCCTTTCAGTTTGCAGGCAGAACATCTCTGGGTAAAACTAATGGCATAATGATAATACCTCAAGTCCTAGGAACCTTCTGGCTCTTTTCAGGTGTAACTATTTCCCTTTATTGAAGTCAAGAAATGGCCTGATGATTTTCTAAAGTGCAACTATAGGGACCTAGACAATGTACTGCACCAAACACTAACTAGGGTTTGTGTTTCTGAGTTGCTTTACTGGCAATCTTATGGGTGCCTCTACAAGACATGGAAGGTCAAATCTGACAGCACAACCTCAAGGTTTCTACATAATGATCTACTTTCTTAGATACAGTAATAGTTTGCATGACTCAGATGTTACACTATTAGTAACAATGTAAGCAGGATCTTATTAATGTCACTTGACTAACTCAGTGGTTATCCTTCTGTTTCAAGAAACTGTCCAAAAAACCTGGGATAGGAAATTAGTGGCTAGGTACAGAAAGCCCACTAATAAAAACTGCCCATTTTAGTTTCTCCCTATTAACTTACTTGTCTTGAGTAGGAATAATTACAGGAGCCACAAGGGGGCACTATAACCCATTAAAGTTGTTTGTGTATCTTTGTATAGTGCTGGGGATTGAACCTAAGACCTCAGAGGTTAAGTACAGATTTTATTATCTACCCAATGCCTAGTCCTAACTATTCTTTTCTTACATTTCTTCATGGTTCTCTTAACCACTAAAAAGGAAAATATACTTGGGGGGGGAGGGAACCCAGGGTTGAAATCACAGCCCTGCTCCCAACCTCCTGGAGATCTGGGCTGTTTAAGGAAACACGTGCTACTTAAATGATGAAAGGCTTAGCTAGAGAAAAACTGAACCCAGACTACATCCAAGTCATTGTCAACCTTCTTTATTCTTTCTCTCTCTACATCCTCTTCCTTTCCCCATTAACTGTTAGTAATGAAGAGGTTAAACGTGTTTATTGGGCAGTATCCTCAATGTTGGAAAAGACTAGGAAGAGTAAGTAGTTTCAAGATGGTTCTAAAAGGACAAAAACCAAATATTCAAACATATTTCCCATTATAAAAAATTACTGCCGGGCGGTGGTGGCGCACGCCTTTAATCCCAGCACTCGGGAGGCAGAGGCAGGTGGATCTCTGTGCGTTCAAGGCCAGGCGGGACCGATAGCCTCCGAAACAATACAGAGAAACCCTGTCTCGTAAAAAAAAAATACTAAATTACATTGTTGTTGCCATTTTCCAATTATTATCTTATGTAGAAGAGGCAATTCTAGTTTCTTCGCCACTAACATTAAGACAACATACATGATGGCAGAGCAGAGACAGCCAAAACTAAGCAAAACAAAGCATGAATCAGCCTTGACCACACCCGCACAGGTCAAGGACAGTCTGTAGGAATAGGCTCTCCCACAACTGGGCTCCAGGAATCAAATCCAGGTTGTTTATTCAGGCTACGCAAACTCAAACATGACCTTGAAATCCTAACAGATAAGAGACAGCACGCTCAGTCTGTTTCCTTTAAAAAGAAAGTTTACGTAGTTACCTCTTCGTACATATTTTTACGAAACTCCAAGTCCTCAGTAAGGCTCTGACAGCGATTCTCCAAATCCACTTTAAGTAAAGTTTCGTCCGCTAACTGCTTTTTGGCAGCGGATAAGGATGCTTCCAGCTATGAGGAGGAAAAAGAATGATAAAGATTATATGGCGACCATGGTAATGACTTAAGATATGAATCAGATCAAGCATTAGAGTTCCTATAAATCAATTAACATGATTATCTCATTTTAACTTTATGGTCATTTGCTGCTTCCCCAGGATGTCACCTCAGATCACCTATCAAACTGTAGTCCTCAACAGAGAGGGAGGTCAGTCCATCAAGAGTCACTGTTCCTGTACAATAATGAAACAGGTTTTGAAAGCAGAGAGGACGAGTGTACCCAGGAGAGCAGCAAGGTCTGCAGAACCCAGACCACAAGTGATGAGAAGCTACCATGCAGAGCTAGCTACCAAGACTGTTCTTTGAGGAAGCCAACAAAGAACACAAATAGAGTTCATTTAAAAAAAATTAATATAAATAAATAAATCCATAAACTATGGCCTAAGATTGCAAACTAATCAACCAAATATGGGTCAGAGGTAGATTCTTACCTGAGCAATCTGATCTTTCAGATCCTCCAAATCGCCCTCTAAACTCTTTTTGTCACCAAGGGCAGTAGCCAGCGCTGCATCCTTAGAGTTTAGTGCCGCCTCATACTCTCGAAGCTTCATCTGGGCTCCATTAAGATCGGATTCCTTCTTAGCGTAACTGCAATAGCAGAAAAGCACAGACAACATCACCACCCTGCCTTGGGACCTTCTCCTTGCCTGCTTAAGGGAGAAATCAAGGCAACCTAAATAATGGCTGCACAGGTCCACTGAAACTACAGAAGCTAACCAAGGAGCATCAGATCAAAGAGTTTTGGGTGGATGACATTTTCCCCATCACATGTTAACTAATGACTATGGGATGAAGAAACTCCTAAGACCCAGTCTCTGGGGACTAGAGATGGCTCTGAGTGAAGAGTACTTGCTGTTTTTACTGAAGATCCATGATCATGTCCCAGCACCAACATGGTAAATCACCTGTTAACTTCAGTTCTGTGAGATTAGACACCCTCCTCCAGCTTCCTGATCATACATGAAGGGCAGGCACACATGCCAGCAAGACACTCACTCACATGAAATCTGGTATCAATGACAGCTCATCGATGCCAAGAGACTTGCAAGCACCTTCTATTCCTAATAAGATGATTTGAAATTTCCATAATTACATAGAGTGCTATGTTGGAAAAGTAATCTTTCATATATGAACAATTACATTTCAAAAGACATAATGTTTGCCATTAAAATAAATCTCTACCATTAATTACACAGGAAAGCCTTCACTGTATCAAGATTCTGAATACCTGCTCTAATTAAAACTGGAGTATTGCTAATGTTAAAATAAACTGACTCAATGGTAAGAAAGTGTAATTCAAGAAGACTCCTAACCCATGGTGGTACAACAGACCTAGTCCCAACAATAGAATCTTTTTTGCTAAGTTCTGTATGCTTAAGACCACGAGATGGCAGGCTTTAGGTGAAAACTAGTCTAGAAGGGACAAACCAACTGCTTAAAATTTGAATTAACAAATAATCTTCCACTTGGGCTAGAGATGGTTAAACTCACTTGCTGCTAAATGAGGAGCTCCAGAATCTGAAGGAGCCCCAGCTGCAAGAGATCTGAAACCCTCTTCTGGAACACGTGGGCAGCTGGATTCAAAAGTGCAGACACAGACATTCACACACCTCCTTTCTAAAAGAGAACCCAACCTTGCTGAATTACAGACAAATGCATGCCCTGGGCCTCCACAGGAATCCCATGGAGAAGCCTGTGAAACAGCCACCGGTAACCCTACTATAAAACGCCAGTGCTGAGGACATGTCATGCATACCTAGGACCTAAGGAAAATCATTAGAGATAAGTTAGTTTCACGTAGCCCATTATCAGCCTGGAATTCACTACACAGCCAAGGACAACCCTGAAATCAGATACACCACCAAGTGCTAGGATTGTAGACACAGGTACACCAGTTCACTGTGTGTGCTGGGAACAAAACCCAAGGCACACTGTGGCATGTGTACACACACACACACACACACACACACACACACACACACACACACACACACACACTTTTAAGATCTCATGGGAGCTTGCCTTTTGAGACCAAAAAAGAAACAACATTTGAGGCTGGAGAGATGGCTCAGCAGTGGTGGCTCACACCTTTAATCCCAGCACTCAGGAGACAGAGGCAAGCAGATCTCTCTGAGTTTGAGGCCAACCTGGTCTACAGAGTGAGTTTCAGGACAGCTAGGGAATATATAGAGGGATCCTGCCTCAAAAAAAAAGGGGGGGGCTGGGGGCTGGAGAGATGGCTCAGAGGTTAAAAACACTAGCTGTTCTTCTATAGCTCCTGAGTTCAATTCCCAGCAACCACATGGTGGTTCACAATCATCTGTAAGGAGATCTGCTGCCCTCTTCTGGCATGCAGGCAGGCATACAGACAGACAGAACACTACATAATAAATAAATCTTTTTAAAAAAAAATCCTGACGCAGAATCTGAACTGGAGAAATCAACTACATCAGATGCCATCAAGAACTGTTGTGAAAAGCTTCTAAGATTAGCAAAACCCAGGCATTCGGGTAATCACATGAAACCCATGTGATGCCAAAAGAACAGAGGCTTAAGAGTTTATGGTTCCAAGTCAGGTGCAGTGATGCCACCTCAAATCCCAGCACTGGGAGGCAGACAGATGGATCTCTGTGAGTTTCAGGCCAGTCTGTCTATATAGTGAGTTCTAGACAGCCAGGGCCACACAGTGAGATCCTGTCTACACAGGGGTAAAAAAAGATTTTATCATTCCAAAAGTAAAAGGCCTCAAATTTAAGTACAGACTACAAACATGCAAAATACCAACCCACATAATATAAAACTTAAAAAAGAAAAAAATCAGTATGAAGTGATTGACCATCTGATTACAGCAAGCGCCAAACTTATCTGAGACCAAGTCAATCAAGATCTGCCTACAAAAGCCATGGCCTTCTCTTGAAGTAAGACAACAGGCATTGAACCTTAAGGAGGGCTCCTGCATCGGCCACTTATACACAGGTACATTGAGGTAGAAACAGAGAGGGCTCAGTCAAGTTCCTAAACTTGGAGACTATTTATTTAACTGAGCAAACATTATTGAGGGCTTAGTATGCTCTACTTAAGACAGCAAGTTAAGTAGAGTGGATTTTGCTTATGAATGTATCTGCCTGGTTATTCATTAGTTAAAGAATGAGATGGACTTGTGGGTGTGCCTGCAATGGAAGCTGGTAGCAGACATTCCCTGAAGCTGTTGGAATATCCCAAGTGATGTGTTTCTGTAGGCTTAGCAGCTGCACATGAATCTACTGATATTTTGAGTATCATCTGTGGGCCCCACAGCCCACAGTAAGCACCCTGCTGCAGCTGCGATATGTAGATTTGAATTAAGTCTCTTGGATGGGCAGTGGTGGAGCACGCCTTTAATCCCAGCACTTGGGAGGCACAGATAGGTGATCTCTGTGAGTTCAGGGTTGGTCTGATCTACTGAGCGTTCCAGGCAGCCTCTAAAGCTACAGAGAAACCCTGTCTTGAAAAACCAAAACTAGATAGATAGATGATAGATAGATAGATAGATAGATAGATAGATAGATAGATAGATAGATAGATAGATAGATAGATAGACAGACAGACTGACTGACTGACTTAGGAGTTAAAGGCTGTGGTGAAAACCTGCTAGCTCAAGGTTGAGTAGCAACTAGCTGACCTTGCTTTTCTGTCTCCACTTGTCTCAGAACCAAAAAGGAAGTTTCAAACTCAATTCCCCGCCCTTTCCTGTGTGTCTTCTCTATCCAAATTGCTGGCTTCTCTATGGCCAATTCCAGTCGGCTAGTCACTGGCTCCACCCCTGATTTAAGGGTTAATTTTATTGGCAAGTCTCAGGAGTGTCAGAGTGCAATCAAAATATTCCACAACACCCAAGCACCTTTCAACACCCAACAAATGTTCTTTCTGTGTTCATGCACTGTTCTCCTCTCCTCCTTTAGTCCACAACATTAACAGTGGGAATGTGGATGCCTCCTAACGAAGGAAGGAAGGAAGGAAGGAAGGAAGGAAGGAAGGAAGGAAGGAAGGAAGGAAGGAAGGAAGGAAGGAAGGAAGGAAGGAAGGAGAGAGCCCACTGTCACCTCTACACATGAGACACTGATGTAACACTGAGGACACAGATCCCAGTACTGAGGGATACTTAGCTCCCTCAAGGGACTGAAGACTCAAAGAAGGGCAAGGCCTCTTATAATTCCTGAATTTCAAACACAGAAACCCTGTAGATAACGATGGTCTTGTTAAATGACTCTGAAGCCACAGAGTATTCAGTAATAGAGTACATGTCTGCCAAACACAAAGCCCAGGGTGCAATTACACTGCCAAAATAACACCTTCCCAAGTCTTTCATCCTGCATAAAATTCTTTTTTAAAAAAACTGCAATACTTTTGCCGGGCGGTGGTGGCACACGCCTTTAATCCCAGCACTCGGGAGGCAGAGGCAGGCGGATCTCTGTGAGTTCGAGGCCAGGCTGGACCGACAGCCTCCAAAACAATACAGAGAAACCCTGTCTCGTAAATACCCCCCCCAAAAAAAACTGCAATACTTTTATGATTTCTGAATTTACTTTCCTAAATGTCCTCCCTCTGACCCTGCCAATGTCGATGAATCATGAAAACACAGTTAAGGTTACACCCATCTCCAGATAAGAGTCACCAATCAAGAGTTTTGTGTCAGATGAGTAGCCAACACCAAGGGCATACGGAGGCCATTCAGTCAGTGGGTTAGCAATCTGAACATAATCTTGTCACAGGTTTCTAACTGTTTTCATACTTTTTATTCATTAAATATGGCATGGAAAGTGCAAGTGTTATCAGCACATCATGGAGGCACACAGCTGCGGGCTGCTGTCCTGAAACAGTGTGTCACTTAGGCACAGGGTGACATCTGACACTGACACTGTCAAGGATCAACAGGAATACAAAGTTATTAGACAGGAGCAATGAAGACTTTACACTACATCCTTCTGACTGCAGATCTGCTCGGTGCTGTTGACCAGCCTATTTCTACCTCCAGATAGATCGTAGACTGCTCCACTAAAGTCAGCACATGAATCTAATGCTACAAATATGCACATGTTCCTTCATAACACGTCAAAAAATGTTCCTTCAGACACTTTACAGAGGAACCAAAGTCACACACACACACACACACACACAAAGCTCAATAGGTCATCAGAAAATTATTCAAGACCTACTATCTGACCATAATAGCCACCTAGTGGTGAACTAGTAAGCCTATCACATCAGTAAATATTTTCCTCCTATATATAAATATATTGCTTTAATATATTAATATGGTGGTTTCTTTTTTCCTTTTTTGTTTGTTTGTTTCTTTGTGGAGCCTTGGCTGTCCTGGAACTCACTCTGTAGACCAGGCTGGTCTCGAACTCAAGATACGCCTGCCTCTGCCTCCTAGTCAGACTATGTCTGGCCATGAACTCCTGATCTTCCTGCCTCAACCTCCTAAATGCTGGGATCACAGGTATGCTTAGCCATGCCCACCATAATAAACACTTGAAGAAATTTAAACCAATTAAAAGGAGAACCAAGGTTTTGTATGAAACAAACAGGAGGGGGTCCAGAAACAA